ATACAGACATACATATTTGTGATAGATAGTTAGACAGACAGACAGACAGACAGACAGATAGACAGACAGACAGACAGACAGACAGATAGATAGATAGATAAATAAATAGATAGAAAAAAATAGACATATAGGTAATAATAGATAGATAGAATCCTCAAAGTATATTAAATAGGCCTACTGTAAACCTATGACGTAATGGCGGCGAAATTACACCATGACTTCAGCTTAAGCACCTTACCCAGGGTGATAATACCTACTTATATCTTACTTATACTTAAAACCCTCACTTATACCGTATATATACTTAAAACGTAACTTGTAATATCCGTAAGTATACTTAATTAAGTGTGATGTATATACCTGTAGTGTAGGTGACTTATGGGTTCGTAAATTGACTTAATTAGTGAGCAGGTGTGTGTGTGTGTGTGTGTGTGTGTGTGTGTGTGTGTGTGTTGATACTGAACTGTGACGATATATATGTGACTCTCTCAATATGTGCATATATCTGACTGTCTGTCTGTCTGTCTGCCTCTATTATCTATCTATCAACCCGAAAGCTTCTATTTAAACACCCATATATTTATTCACCTACAAATCTATCCATCTATCATCCACTTTCCACAACCATCAACTCAACCTCACCTTAACTAAAGATCAAAGGCACTTCAACACTACACCACACCACACTACACTACACAACACTACACAACACAACACTACACTACACTACAATCATTATAACAGTAGTAAAATATGTACTAGTTGTATTTTTGTAAACACATTGACTCATTTAACAGCACACACGATAAACCTTGACACTACAGAATGAGATGTTGTTTACGATCGGTTATATTCCTGTGTTTGATGTGGGACGGGGGAGAGGGACAGTTGTATGGCGTCAGTCAGGTAGGTCAACAGGTAGATTCACAGAAAAGACAGTCACACACATACACAGACATTCACACACACACAAAAGCAGTCATAAACACACACACACACACACACACACATACTTCAAGGCGACTAACCTAACCTAACCATTACCCCGCAATACAAATCGATTAACATCCAGGTCCCCAATTACTGCTGGGTAGACAGAGGCAAATGGCGTAAAGAAACTTGCCCATAGTTTCACCCTGCCTGGGGATCGAACAGGGTTTCGCTAGCTTGCCAGGCGAGTATGCTGACCATAACACCACAGGTTGCCTAGGTATGTAAGTAAGTGTCGAGGTCTTGTTCTCTCAGGTAAATAACACAATGTATTACATGTCCCCAGCCAGCCCAGGGAACTAACTTATTGTTCCCCCCCCCCCCTCCTCCCATCCCTCACCCCCTTATCCCCCACGCCACTCCTCCCACCTCAGGCATCTTTCTATCCTCTATCCACTCCACTACAAGGATATTCATCTTTCATCCACACGCCACTACCAGTCTATCCACGAAGCTTCACAAGGAGAGCTGGAGGTGAGGGTGTGGGTAAGGGAGGGTTGTAGGTGAGGGAGGGGTGTGGGTGAGGGAGGGATGTGGGTGAGGGAGGGGTGTGGGTGAGGGAGGGGGTGGGTGAGGAGAGTTGAAGATGAGGGAGGGGGTGTGGGGAGGTAGAGCCGAAGGTGAGGGAGGGGTGTGGGTGAGGGAGAGAGATGAGTACTGGCGCCACTAACTGTAGAAGGAAGCTACTGACGACACAGGATAATGCTTCAACACGGTCGACTCCTTCAGGTATAAGTGTCTGAGAGTACAGCGTGTTAGTAACATCAAGTACCACCAGAGGCTGCCTGAGGAACCTGTAGGAGTAGTACGAGTAGGAGGTGAACAACAGGACACACCAGGTTAGGTTAGGTTAGGTTTTAATATTGGTCTAGTGTCCAACGAAGATCTCTCGCTATAACGTGTGTGTGTATATGTGTGTGTGTGTGTGTGTGTGTGTGTGTGTGTGTGTGTGTGTGTGTGACCAGGAGGAACTATTCTGGTTGACGGCGGGACAGCCAAGGGTAAGTAAGACCCACCACCCTGTGTACTTGGTCACTGTCAAGACCTCCTGAAGGTGCAGGAGGAGACCACAACAGCAGCCACCCTCAGTAGTTCTTATCTATCTATCCATCTCAGTCTATCTATCTATCTATCCAATCAATAGATCTATCTACCCAAACTATCCATCTATCTACCCACCCAGTCTATCTATCTATCCATCTCAGTCTATCCATTGATCTATCTATCCACCCAGGTCTATCTATCTATCCATCTACCCACAAGTCTGCCTCACACTCACTCACCATAACAAATAACAAGGATATAATATATAAAATAGGGTTTATGTACTATCCAGAGTACAATTTATGAACCCAGAGTACAATTTATGTATCCAGAGTACAATTTATGAACCCAGAGTACAATTTATGTATCCAGAGTACAATTTATGTATCCAGAGTACAATTTATGTATCCAGAGTACAATTTATGTATCCAGAGTACAATTTATGAACCCAGAGTACAATTTATGCACCCAGAGTACAATTTATGTATCCAGAGTACAATTTATGCATCCAGAGTACAGTTTATGTATCAAGAGTAGATCATAAACACATTACTTTCTATGTCTGATGATTTGTTATGGGTCTCTGTAGTCAAGGAAGCCAATGTGAATACTTATGTCTCTCACTTAATATGCAAAAGGTGAGGATAGGAACAAGTGTGTGTGTGTGTGTGTGTGTGTGTGTGTGTGTGTGTGTGTGTGTGTGTGTGTTATTATTCACTGTTTCAACTATTTCTGTCTCTCTCACCTTTCGCTCTCACCTGACTCTTTTCTCTCGCCTATCTCTCTGTCTCACCTGTCTCTCATTTACCTTTATTAATTATTGGGGTTTATGGTTCACCTTAATTGTATCTCATTAATGAAGATGACAGGTGAAAAGATTACGTTATTGAGATCACCTGAATATGATTAAGGAGATGCCAGTTTATATCGAGATGCCAGTTTATATAGAGATGCCAGTTTATATAGAGATGCCAGTTTATATAGAGATGCCAGTTTATATAGAGATGCCAGTTTATATAGAGATGCCAGTTTATATAGAGATGCCAGTTTATATAGAGATGGCAGTTTATATAGAGATGGCAGTTTATATAGAGATGGCAGTTTATATAGAGATGGCAGTTTATATCGAGATGCCAGTTTATATAGAGATGCCAGTTTATATAGAGATGCCAGTTTATATAAAGATGCCAGTTTATATAGAGATGCCAGTTTATATAGAGATGCCAGTTTATATAGAGATGCCAGTTTATATAGAGATGCCAGCTTATATAGAGATGCCAGTTTATATAGAGATGCCAGTTTACATAGAGATGCAGTTTATAGAGATGCCAGCCAGTATATAGAGATGCCAGCTTATATAGAGATGCTGAAGCTTATATAGAGATGCCAGTTTATAGGAGATGCCAGTTTATAGAGATGTCAGTTTATAAGATGCTAGTTTATATCGAGATGTCAGTTTATATAGAGATGCCAGCTTATATAGAGAGATGTCAGCTTATATAGAGATGCCAGTTTATATAGAGATGCCAGTTTATATAGGAGATGGCAGTTTATATAGAGATGCCAGTTTATATAGAGATGCCAGTTTATATAGAGACAGTTTATATAGAGATGCCAGTTTATATAGAGATGCCAGTTTATAGAGATGCCAGTTTATATAGATGCCAGTTTATAGAGATGCCAGTTTATATAAAGATGCCAGTTTATATAGAGATGCCAGTTTATATAGAGATGCCAGTTTATATAGAGATGCCAGTTTATATAGAGATGCCAGTTTATATAGAGATGCCAGTTTATATAAAGATGCTAGTTTATATAGAGATGCCAGTTTATATAAAGATGCCAGTTTATATAGAGATGCCAGTTTATATAGAGATGCCAGTTTATATAAAGATGCCAGTTTATATAGAGATGCCAGTTTATATAAAGATGCCAGTTTATATAGAGATGCCAGTTTATATAGATGCCAGTTTATATAGAGACAGTTTATATAGAGATGCCAGTTTATATAGAGATGCTAGTTTATATAGAGATGCCAGTTTATATAGACCTGTTGTTTTTCATTTCTACCACAATGACAACTTCAGGTGAAGATCTTTATTGATACGACATTAGGAGGTACAGTATATGAGGGGGTGTTGGAGGGAGGGGTGGGAGGGAGGGGTGTTGGGGAGGGGTGTTGGAGGGAGGGGTGTTGGAGGGAGGGGTGTTGGAGGGAGGGGTGTTGAGGGGAGGGGTGTTGGAGGAGGGGTGTTGGAGGAGGGGTGTTGGAGGGAGGGGTGTTGGAGGGAGGGGGTGGTGGGAGGGAGGGTGTTGGAGGGGAGGGGTGTTGGAGGGAGGGGTGTTGGAGGGAGGGGGTGTTGGAGGAGGGGTGTTGGAGGTGGGAGGGGTGTTGGAGGAAGGGATGTTGGAGGAGGGGTGTTGGAGGGAGAAAAGGGAGGGGAGGGGATGTTGGAGGAGGGGTGTTGGAGGGAGGGGTGTTGGAGGGAGGGATGTTGGAGGGGAGGGGTGTGTTGGAGGGAGGGGTAAGGAGGGAGGGGGTGTTGGAGGAGGGTGTTGGAAGGAGGGGGTGTTGGAGGTAGGGTGTTGGAGGGAGGGATGTTAGAGGGAGGGGGGGCAGGGAGGTGTTGGAGGAGGGGTGTTGGAGGGAGGGGGTGTTGGAGGGAGGGGTGTTGAGTGGAGGGGCAGCAGGAGGAGGGTGTTGGAGGAGGGGTGTTGGAGGAGGGTGCTGGAGGGAGGGGTGTTGGAGGGAGGGGTGTTGGAGGGAGGGGGGTGTTGGAGGGAGGGGTGTTGGAGGGAGGGGGTGTTGGGGGAGGGGTGTTGAGGGAGGGGTGTTGGAGGAGGGGTGTTGGAGGGAGGGTGTGTTGGAGGTAGGGGTGATGGAGGGAGGGGTGATGGAGGGAGGGGGTGTTGGAGGGAGGGGGTGTTGGAGGGAGGGATGTTAGAGGGAGGGATGATACACTCACCTGTAACACCTGGGGAGGCACGTCGGAGGGCACTGAGGCTGGAATAGCGATGCCCTCCTGAGTCTGTTGATGTTGTTGTTGTTGTTGTTGTTGTTGTTGCTGCTGCTGCTGCTGCTGCTGTTGTTGTTGTTGTTGTTGTTGTTGATAAATCAGCTGTTGTTGTTGCTGATGCTGGAGATTATGCTGTTGTTGTTGTTGCTGTTGTTGTATTTGATGTTGTTGTTGTTGTTGTTGTTGTTGCAGTTGGTGATGGTGGTGTAGTCGAGATGCAGCTGTAACGTCCCTGTCTCTGGCCTCCTGTTGCTGCTGCTGTTGGCGCATCAGCTGTTGTTTGAGCTGTGTCCGGGAGGTGGTAGGCAGCACCTTCACGTTCGATGGAGGACTGTTGGACAAAAGAGACACCTGTTAGACCTCTGTTACACCTGTTAGCCCTCTGTTACACCTGTTAGCCCTCTGTTACACCTGTTAGACCTCTGTTACACCTGTTAGACACTTGTTACACCTGTTGGACCTCTGTTACACCTGTTAGACCGCTGTTACACCTGATAGACATTTGTTACACCTGTTACACCTGTTACACCTGATAGACATTTGTTACACCTGTTACACCTGTCCTATTACTGTACCTTATCAACATATCATCACTAATTAGGTAACTAACTAGTATGCATGTCCTAATACACTGCTGGGACATACAGTACAGGTGTTATACATGTCCTAAAAAAACAGTAAAGACACATTAAGTCGGCGTGTTGTGTTGAGTCGTGTAGTATCGTGTGGTCGGGGCGTGTGGTCGGGTCGTGTGGTCAGGTCGTGTGGTCGGGTCGTGTGGTTGGGTCGTGTGGTCGTGTCGTATGGTCGTGTCGTGTGGTCGGGT